AATGAATGGCCACAACGCCCCTGGACACGAATCCCGCTACAAACAGTCACCTCGCAGTGTCTGGAGCGGCGTGAGTCCCGACGACCGCCTCGTCTCTCCCAACGACGTGAAATTGACACTGCGTGATTTGGGCGGCAACAACACCGTGCGTGCGTGCGTGTCTTGTGTGTTGCTCCTTCTTCTGGGATTGTATTTGGGTCGTGGCAGTCTGTGAGCCACGGAGTGGGGATCTGCGACGCCTCACGGAGAATACATGCCGCACTGCCCATCCTTTTTTATGCCACCGTTTTTTTAGTTTTACTGTTCGTTTATTTCGTTGATGTTTTTACTTTTTAATGTTTTTTACTTAATTTACCCGAAGTAGTAAGTACCGTTGTTTTTCCCTTTTGTAATGTTCGGTTGCTGCACACTGAAATGGGTGAAGTGTTCCCCTTTTTTTGCTTTTGTTGTTGCCCACACACGGTACAGGCCTCATTGCTGTGCGTTCCACGGAATGCACGAAAGGATGATTGGAAGAAAAGGCCGGATGCCGCATGAAATGTGAAGAATTTTGTGTGGGCTGGTGGAACAGTGCGATCTCATTTATTTTAATTCCGCTTCTTTTTTGTTGGTGCGGGCAATATGTATATACACGAGCACACGGTTGGTCGTCTTGTGCTGCTCGGTCCATGAAATAAAAGTCCCGCCAAATAAATTTTTACTTCATTTTTTTCTTTTAATTTTGGGAATTATCCCGGACCCTCATCTTTTTTTTTGTTTCCTTAAATTCCTGCGGCTTGTTTCTGTAGTTACCGTATCTGCTGTCGCTTTGTGTCTCCGTGTCTCGTTGAGTGTCTCTCTGCTGGCTGTGCTGCTAGCTGTGCTGTTGACATGTCTCCATTTCTCTTTATTCCCTGCTAGAGGCACCGATGGTCCGCGACGACGATTTTTTGTGCTCCCCGTTGCGATGGCACGTGGGTGACTGAGCGTCGGTCTGCTGAGTGCGCTCGGAGGGGAGCGGATGGTGTGCGCCGTGCCTCACTGTGCGTGTGGGACGCCAATCCGCTGGGGAAGAGAGAAGTAAAGGGCTGCGGTATGTTCTTGTATGCATCCCGTTCCTCTTGTTGCCGCCGTGTTTGTGCTGTGCGCATGGCAATATCTTGCGGTGCGACGTGGATGGCGGCACGACATTGCATGTGCCCTTGTGCGTGTTGTGCGGCCGTGGCATTCCGGCGATCGTGTGTGAAGTGGCGGACACGGAGCTGCTGGACTGAGGGAGGAGGTGGCGTACGTTGCGGCGCGGCGGGAGCGCATGACGGCTGCGTTTGGTGGGAGGGCCCGACGATTCCGAGGCCTGTGCTGGAGGGGCGCGTGTTGAAGTGAGCGTGGCGTGCCTGTGAGGGTCTGA